TTTGGAAGAAGTGTAGCCAGAGTGCTCCTTGGAGGCCAAGATGGCCAAATTCATCTCTCATATTTCAGACATATTGTCAAGAGGGAGCAGTCGCTGGAGAAGGATATCATGTTTGGTAATGTGGAGGGTCTGAGAAAATTAGGAAGACCCCCAACGAGATGGATTAGCCAAGTGACAGCATCAATGGACTCAAGCGTGGCAACAGTGGTGAGGCTGGCCCAGGATCAGGCAGTGCATAAGGTTGCTATGGATTGGTACTGACTTGATGGCACCTAACAACAACAACTATTATTGTTGTTGTTGTGAAGTGCCATTGAGTCTGTTCTAAATCACAGCAACCCTGTGTAGGGTTTCTGAGACTTTTTAAATCTTTGCTGGAGCATAAAGCATAATCCTGTGGAGTGACGGGTGGGCTCAAACCGCCGACCACGTGGTTCCTAGTCCAGTGCTCATCCTATGGAATTGTCTATTTCCCTCCTCACTTCAGTACCACTTCTGAGAGCTAGAGTGGAGTTCATCAGAGAAGGAAAATTGAAACAGACCCTTTTTCTTCTCAGAAAAATACACATACAATACATATACTGTTCATCATCCGATACACTCTGCTTTCAAGTGACAGTTCTCTTCTGAAGCTACCCTAGCCTAAAGAAAAAAGTTTTCTATCTGTAAAGCTAAGCTGATGTGTAAAAATCAAAGAAAAACATGTAAATTAATTTTATCACTAATAATCACTCACTTAGCCAGATGTCAATCATAATAAATAGAATTTGGCACCCCACATGGATGTGCATTCACTTTTACATATTATCAAAATGATATAAGATGAAGTCAAAGGTAGATTTTAAAAGCTCTATATTACAGAGACATGCAAATCTTTTACTCTATAATGTGCTGATTCTGTTGTTGTTATTAGGTCCTATAGGGTCAGTTCCAACTCATAGCAACCCTGTATAGGGCTTCCGAGGGGCAGCTGGTCAGTTTGACCCACCGACTTTATGGTTAGCAATCCAGTGCTTATCCTACAGTGAGTGTCACACCAGGTGTTGGCAGTATGTGTTCTTTAATGCTACTCTAATTTTTAAAGCATTTTTACAGCCTTATACGAGCAAACATCCAGGTATGAGGCTCTTAAATCTAGTGAGAAATTCACAATGCATATTTCATAGTAACTACTTACACTAAATGATCAGTCACACATTAAATATAGAAAATTCAAGAGAAAATTATACTATACACAGAGCTCTTTAGACAGTACACAAGTTTGCATTCATTTAAAAAATTGTTGTTGTTATTGTTAAGTGCCATCGAGTCAGTTCTGACCCATAGTGACCCTGGATAGGGTTTCCAAGGAGCAGCTGGTAAGTTTGAACCACCTACCTTGCAGTTCAAACGGCTTTGCAATCTGGCGCATTAACCCACAGCGCCACACCAGGACTCCCATTTACAAAATACACAATAGTAAAAGCATGGCAGGCTTTTTAATAAGAATTACAGCGAGAGACAACATATAAACAGACAATAACAAAGAAAGTTCAGAAAATCTGTTCTGAATCCCAAATCTATCTTGTCTCATGGTTTGATTGTTAAAATGTAAGCTATACCTAAGTGATGGCATGACTAAGCATGTAGTTGATTAGATATAGAAGGTATATTAAAGGTAGAAATGCTCTTTGGACCTGTTTTCTTATTTGTGAAATGAGGGGATTCCACAGTATAATCCCTGACATCCATTTTAGTTCTGAAACACTATTACTAATTGCTATCTCTTGCAGCTCACATTCTCCATGAATTTATGCTACCAGGGTAGCCAATGTTTCCACCACATACTTTTATAAAAGTGTTTATATTTTAACCATGAAATTTGCTCTCGGATCTAAGTCCACACCACAAATTCCACACACTTTGATATGGGCATGAAGATGAGATAACACCAGACTTACCTTTTTAAGAGAAAAGCTTAACCAAAGTATAGTTCTGATGTTACCTTGTACTATCTATCGCTAATACAACAACCAAAAGCAACTATGTGATATTAATGCTTATAAACCAGAAATAAATCTTTCATCACTCAATCACAAAAAAATGTCTGCCGAAACATTAAAATAAGCTCAGTAAAAACGCAAAAGCACAGTGAGGTAAGGACAAAGACATTTATTCACATTGTTTATAGTAGTCTGCCATATTTTTATGCAAATAATTGTGTGGTTTTTTTGCCAACCACACTGTCCGCCTCACTCATTATCTTCCTAGTGCAGGTTGTACGCGAGGACTCAATATTTACAGAAAATACAGTAAATACAGATCAACAAGGCAAGAGTCCAATGCATTATAATACAACTGAAACATGGAACCCTATAGAAGCATTAAAATAATGATTACACAAAAGACAGCTCCACACTGGGACAATGGGCATAGTGTGCTGCTATTTGCACAAAAGGAAAAAACAAAAATTATTATGTACATAGACTATCTCTGGATGGTTACAGAAGAAACTGCTTAACAAAAACTGTCTCTAGAAAAAGATACTGCTGTCAATATTATAGAAGTAGGAGGAAAACAAGCTTTTAAAACTTTTTTTTTTATATATTTTGAACTTTTTTGCCCATGAACATGTCCTGCTTTTAAAAAAGTTTTTTTTTTCCTCCAGCATGAGGTCATCATGAGTATTTACTGAAGCTCAAGAAATCCAATCCATACCCACTTTAGCGAGTAAGGCTTTATTAGGCAATTTCGCAAAATTGGGTGCCCAAACACAAGACAGGCTGGTGCGCTCCAGCGACAGTTTCACAAGCATTTTAGTCCTAGCTCTCCCAGTTCCTCATTGGCTGAGTACTATGGAGTGAACAGTCTTCGTCTATTTCCTTTTATGGTTATAAAATCCTCTTTTAAAGTTTCTATTTCTTAAACAGGTTCCCTCCCCCTCCTCTTCTGTGGTAGCCAGGTAACAATTTGTGCCCTGGGTCAGCTAAGTTGCCTTTGTTCTCTTTACTCTGAAGATGAACCAGCTTGAAATTTTTTCTTACAAATTTGATAAGCATTGGACTGCTAACCACAAGGCTGATGATTCAAACCCACCAACTGTTCCTTGAAAACATTATATACAGGGTCTCTATGAGTCAGAATTGACTTGACAGCACTTAACAACATCCTATAGCATTAGCTTGGAGATCATAGGTTCTGATGAAAACTGTTCTTCCCTCAGATCTTTCCCTGAGGAGAACAATGCTGATTTCCAAGGTCTAGTTTCCATTTTCTAGAATACGGGTTGGCAAGCTGAAGTTCACAAGGCCATTCCTCTTGCTTCCTGTCAGGGATGCAGGGGAAACTTCATGACAATTACTTCTCTTGGTGTCAGTCACAAAGAGTTGCTGTCAGACATCTGAGTTCCTGATGGAGGAAGATTTCTCACTCATGTCAAGCAACCTGAGAACTATCATGCACCGACAGTTTGCCTAACACAATTTCCTTTCCTCAGGCATGCTGCTCTATTTCCAAGTCATCCTGGGCTGCATCTGCCCAGTGTCCACAGTTTACCCTTCCACACGTGTCCCGAGCTCCTCAGAGAGGAACCAGCCCGGCAAAGGCCGCATGTGACAGGGCCTAAAAAGTTAAATTTTCAAAGGCACAAATGAACAGTGGCAAAACATTCAACTGGATGAGGGAGCTTCAAAGAATTTGTGGAAAAATGGAATTAAAAGATAATGGAATTTTTACATGAACTTTTAAAGCCTCCTCATATATGCTAACACAGTTACTAAATATACCAGAACAAAATACAACAAAATATTAACAGTGATTGTCTTTGAGTAGTGAGATTCTGGTTGATTTATTTCCTTTATTTTATATTTTCTCTGTATTTTCTAAAGTATCTCAGTGAATATGTATTAGCTTTGCAATCACAAAAGATTATGCATATATTTTAAAACAAATACACATTTTGCATTATATATTTTCTCAGATATTATATCAAGTACATGCTTTGAGAATATGTATGTTTTTACTGAACTCTGAAACTGCTTCATGCTGTAATTCCATACATTTGCTCGGGACTCACCCCTATGTTATATGGCGGTTCCTTGAGACTCAAGTTTTGGAGAGATGCCTGGAAAACATTTACATAATTTGTTCCTGTGGCTTCTTGAGCTGTAGACAGAAGAGAGGTACCCAGTTAAGATGTTACAATTTTTTTTCAAATGAATCTTGGATCAGTGTAAGGACAATCACTTTTCAAAACAATCAATCATATAGAAATAGAAAATATACCATCTTTCAAAATACCTGAAAATTTCCAGGTATCTTAATGAATTAATGCCATAACAGCAAATGTCATTAAGAATGGGCTAAAAATGATACTTCTGTTCTGGTTCCTTTATGGGACATTTAGGAATATGTAAGGGAAGAGGGGTTTTTAGACCCCTGGGTCTTGATCATTACTCTTGATGTGACTCTAAGAAGGGAGTGGGCTGTTAACAAAGGCCAAGCTGAGACTGAGCCAAATGACAATGGGGAGGGGGTGCAGGAAGAGGAAATGCCAATGTGGGCCTGGAAAGAGGGGCTATCAGTCAACACTGAAGATACCCTTTTCTGTAAGGGGGCTTATGAAACCAGGTACATAGGCAGGGAATCAATGGGGCCCTTGTGACCAGATATTACTCATAGTAGAATGGTGGTCATGCCAAACACTACAGAGAGGCCAGAAATCTTGGTACACACTGCAAAAGCCCTAACTGCCCACAGTTCCTCCAGCCTGAGCAGGAAATTGGGGTACTGACTCTTCTCGAAGGCCAGGAATGCTAAGAACTACTTGGGGCATTGTGCAGAGGACCAAGGCTCTGTGGCTACAGATATAAGCCTATGGAACCAGTAGCTATGAAGGATATGAAGGACTATGCCCTCTAGCCATAGCTAGTGGGGACTGTGGACATTCAGGTTCCATTCCATCCACTCACCCAACAAAAGACTCTTTAGCAATCAAACCAGCCATGCACAAGGTACATGAGAGGCCAACCTTCTTCTTACCAGACTGCTTGTATTTCTGGACTTTTGTCTTCAGGTCTATTCGGTGGATGGTCTTTAGGCAGGTTTCTAACAAATCCAACTGATCTGGAGCAACCAGATTTTGTTTTTCCAATTCAACCACAAGACCAAGGAAACTCTGAAAGAGCCACCAACAAGAAACAAATGTCAGTGGAACTAACAGTGAAGTCACAAAGGTGAACCTCAGGCCATGTGATTTATAAGCACAAAAAAAAATGTGATGAGTTCCTACAGTGACATAAAGACATTTCTGCTTTATATTAGACCAAAGGTCATGAGCAAATGGTCCCTCAGGATCTTACTCAGGATAAAAGTAGCAGTAAGACTTTTGGTAGCTGGATGGTAACTAGACATATGGACCATTTTGTGTCATCAAGGTGTACTATTGAGTGACAATAGCCTGAAAGTTAAAACCAACTGACTTCATTCTCTTTCAAAAGGCCAGGCTGGTTTTCTACTATAAAACAAAGGCTTTCCTGGAAAGGGGTCAAAGAAGATAACAGTGAAAAAGATTTTGTGTGAAAAATCCCAGCTGCACAGTGTTGAAGTTCTTAAAATATTTTCATCTATGCCAGACATTCCAACTCATCTGACTCAGGGAGTCATAAGGAAGGGCAAAGGTACAATTGGGCTAGGACATTTTGTGACTCATTTACCCTGGGCCACAGTGATTTGTGAAAGAACTAAAATTCAGAAGCAAGCATCACTTTTAGTTTTACTTCCCTTCTGTTTAACATTTAGTTACTGTTTTCTAAGTACTGCCTTTTATTTTTAAAAATAATAATCACAATTCACTGGAAGAAGTTGGTCAGGAGACACCAATATGAAGTTCCATTTTTCATTTAATGGTGGGGCACACAAATTTCACAAATGAAATTGCAGTTATTACTGAATATGAGGAAACTTAAGCAATGACTTACAGAGTCCTTAGAGGCCAGGCCAACCACTAACGACCTATTTTCGTAAGAAGAGACCCAAGGTTTTCCTGATTTGTCCTACGCCATGAAGAGCCAACTGGAATCTAAATCTTCTTCCAGCAATCACAACATCCCTGAAATGATCGCCCCTGCTTAGTTTTCAACCTCAACTCTCTGCTTCTGCCACTCTGCAGATGTATCAGTTGCTTTTCCCCTCCCCACGTCTACATGCAGTGACCCTGACTAACTGAAGAGAAAGAAATGGTAACAGGGAGACAAGATGAGAGTTGACTAGTCCCTCCCACTTCTTTCTGTTCAGCACGAGCACATGCGACTTCCTAACCTTCCTAACTTTCCCAGATGATCTGTCAAACTAGAGAGAAAATTACTGTAGAAGTCAGACCCATGGATTTTACAGAATAAAGATAAAATCCAAGGATGAAAGAAATACTCAAGGTCACATTAGAAGCTATTACCTCATTTCCTCTCAGTTCATAAACCAACTTTCTTCCTATTAATTTTATTATGGAAAAGCCAACATTCTTCTGACTTTTTTTTTTTCACCCCCAGTGTGGGCTTCCCTGTCCACTGACACAGTAGCAGGCTACCTGCCTCCTTCTCTTTATGCTCTAAGGAACAGACTCCAGCTTCTCAGAAGCTCTTAAGAACAGGAACCAAGAAATAGACAGAAAAATCACCTTGTCTTTGGCTAGTTTGCCTCGGCCTACATAATCTTTCATGAGGAAAATTAATGAGGATACGTCAGTTTTGTCCAAATCTTCACTAATTTCTGTCAGCAGCACTCTGTAAACAGAAAGGAAAAAACAAGTTTCTTTTAGTAAATTCAGATAACTATCCTAGTGAAAACACTGGATTGCAAGGTTGGCTTGAACCCATGTCTGTCCTATACCAATAAGAAGTTAAAACTTTGGTTCTTGGCTCCTGGTTCTTGGCATGTCAGTATACTAATCACCCTCAGAAAAGACCTTGTTGTTAAATGGCATTGAGTCGGTTCCGACTCATATCAACCCAGTGTAGGGCTTTGAGGAGCCACTGGTTTGAACCACTTACCTTGTGGTTCCCAGCCCAGTGCTTATATTAATTACAGCACCACACTGGGGATCCCTATTTTTAGTAAAAGGTGGAATCTCCCTTTCCAAATAACAGCTCTAAACACAACTCTAGGAGAACAGAATTTACCTAAAGAATCCCCCAACTGCCCCAGAAGTTATGGTGAAATGAGTTAAGAACCTAAATGACTAACATGAAAGATGGAAATAGAACTCAAAAACCTTTGTCATCTCTATTTAACAGTTCATTTACTCCAAAGAGGAGGTGTGATATTAGCCAAGAATATACACTGAACTTCAAGGTGGGAGGTTCAAACACACCAGCCTCTTCTTGGAAACCCTAGAGGGTCGGAAATGACTCAATGGCACTTAGCAACACCACACTCAACACCTATTTAACTCCATATTAATCCTGTAGCCTGGAAGATTCTGACAGAAATACTCAGTTGTTACAGTCCATGGTAATGTTCTTACTTAAGCAGAGCATCTCAAATTTGTATGTGTACACAGGTCACTGAGCCATCTAGTGAAAATGCTGATTCTGAGAATCCTGGTGTAGCACTGTAGGGTAAAGCACTGGATCGCAAGGTCGACTTGAACAGCAAGGTCAGCAGTTCAATCCCATGGAAACCCAATACAGGGTCACTTCGAGTTGGAACACAACTCGGGGACACTTAACAGCAACAACAAAGGTGGGGCCTGAGACTCCGCTTTTCTAACACGCTCCCAGGTGATGCCTAGGTTGCTGATCCAGGGATCATTCTTTGAGTAGCAGGATTCTAAAGCAAGGAAATACTTGGGATATCCTGTCCCATTTCCAAACTCCAAGGGTAAAAGGCTTCTGGATCGTGAGCTTTTGTATAGAAAGCTCTTTCTGACTCACTCACCTCTGTCCCCATGAGAAGCACCATCACTTTTGACTGGGTCTTTTGGGTAACTTAGTGATTAGTATTATTACCATCACACTGCAATTATGGATTAGAAGACGTTTCCCCAATGAGACTCTCAAATTCCTAAAGATGGGGGATTCTTCACTCATTTTTCCCCCTGTTGTTGTTAAGTGCCATCGAGTCAGTTCTGACTCATAGAGACCCTGCATACAGTTTCCAAGGAATGACTGGTGGCATTGAACCACCTACCTTGTGCTTATCAGTCCAGCGCCACATCGGCACTTTATCTCTAGAGCTTACCAAAGCACCTGGCATATATCAGCCCATAATAAAGCCCACTGAAGAAATGAGTAAATGAATCTAGCCCTCCACTCCAACTGCTGAGCCTTTAAGACCAAAACACCTAAGGAACAATCTCCACTCAGAAACAGAAAATGGAGAAAGTATTCTACCTTATTCATTAAAATATAGTCAATGATGTAAAAAAAAAAGTTTTAAGCTTACCGACATTATATGATGCTGGAGAGGGTCAAAGGTGACCAAGAATAACAACGATGACAACAACAATAATAAATCTTAGCTATTTATACAGCGCTTCAAGTGTGGCACTGGAGGATCAGCACTGGACTATGAACCACAAGGTCAGCAGTTCAAACCCACCAGTTGCTCCTCAGAGACCCTATACAGGGTTGCTATGAGTCAGAATCAACTTGATGGCACTTAACAACAGTTTAAAAAAGTACTTCACATTCAAAGTTATAACAACACTGTGAGATCAGGTATTGTTATTCTTAGCTTTACAAGTAGGAAAACTAAGATCCAATGATGTAAGTGACTTGTTCAGTCTACATGGTTTGTAATTGCTAAGTTTGAGCCTTCAAACAGGTCCTCAGACCTAAAGTCTAATTCTTTCCAAAGCCTGAATTGCATTCAGCCCTCTTTAGTTTAATTTCTTGATAACATACATTATCTCCAAATACATGTTAGTGGTATAACTAAAGGCTAGTAGGTTGGAAAAAAAAAAAGAAACACCAATTTAAGGTTATAAGTTCTCTTCATTTTCTCTAGAAACATAGTCTTTCCCATGGCTTCTGTGGCCCTTTGACCCTTTCAACATTACTGCCTGAATAAGAAGGAACAACTCAGGCAAACCTAAGGGGATTCTCTTCTCACTAAAAGGTGCTTTAGGTTCTTGCTTGCTGTTATCTCACTAACTCTGACTCTTTCTGACCTTATGGTTAAGTTAGAGTCTCAGGATGCTGAGAAACTCACAGAAGGTAGCCTACAACAGTCAGAAAGTTCACAATCTAACTTATTTCCTTTCTCAGCACCAAAAAATAGTCAGGTTCTAACATCACTGAAAAGGAGCTCTGGTAGCGTAGTGGTTAAAAATCGGGCTGCTAACCTCAAGGTCTGCAGTTTGAAACTACCAGCTGTTCCGTGGGAGAAAAATGAGGCTTTCTGCTCCCATAAAGATTTGCAGCCTCGGAAACCCTGCGCAGGGGCGCTATGAGTCGGAACCGACTCCACGGCACATAACAACAACAACAACAACATCACCGAAAAGAAGCTCACCAATGAGACTGCAGATCTCACTCTGTCAGAGGACAGAAAGAATTACTAGTTCTTTCATAGCTGTTCCTTGCTCTCTTCAGTTTTCAGCATTCTATCCTTCAGGCAAACACCCATTTGTCCCTTATACTTTCATTATGATCTGCTACTCAAATCATTTAAGCAAATAAATTCCAAAAATCCAGAGTTCAAGAGAATAAAAACAGCACTATTTGACAGTTGAATTAGTGGATAGAGAACTTAATTTATGTGGTTGCTTTTCTTATTATCCTCCTTTCTATTGTTCAGTAACAGTTAGGTTACCTCACTCCCTCCCACCAGTCCAGCCTCTAGATGAATTACCTATAATCCGGAACAAGGTGAGGGTGCTTAAGTAGGCGGGCCTCCATTGCAGCTTTGTCCACCTTCAAGATCCGCTTGAGCAAGTCCAACCGCCTTATTCTGTACAGCAGCTCAGCCAAGTCCATGGCAGACAGCTTACCTTTATCACTTAAAATATCCAGAAGGTCCCGGACACTGGGTGGAGCCACATCTGCAGCAATATCACGGCACAAAAAGAGAAGCATCTCCTTCTCATCTTCATCAAGTGCCTCTTCGACCTGATGGATAACTGCTGCAGATACCCTGTACATTCCAAGCAACTGCACTAATAAAGCTCTTCCATTCAACAGAAAGCCTTGAGGATAGTAACTTCATTTCTGGTTGATTTCTTCATTTCTTTCCAAGTACTTTCCAGTGGAGAAGTTCTGTGGTTAAAAAGGAATTTTTTTAAAAAATCTAATCAAGTTAACAAAGGGGCACTGGTGGTGGAGTGGGTTACGTCTTGGGTTGCTAACCACAAGGCGAGCAGTTTGAAACTACCAGCCATTCCATGGGAGAAAGATGAGGCTTTCTGTTCCTGTAATGATTTACAGCCTCAGAAATCCTATACAGAGTTGCTATGAGTCCAAATGGGCTTGACAGCATTTAACTACAATCAAAGTAACTAGGTTCTTCTTTTGTTACTGGTGTCTCTAATCTATAAGGTACACAGAAAGATGTCTTTAATAGTCTGGGTGACTAATTCAAAAAAAGTCCCAAATGACATACAACCTACATTTTCAAGAATATGAAACAGAGACAAAGAAGTCACCCCCTCAAAGTCCCATGACCTTTATCAAAGTAGAAAACACAATAAAGGGGAAATCTCAACTAGGAAGTTTATGAATATATTACAAATACATGACTTCAGTGGAAAGAAAAGGGAAAAGTCAGCTGATTAGAGAAACTGGTTTCAGTGACTGTAATTTAGTGAATTATCAAATGTCTCTACTAGTCTGAAACTCCAACCAAACACAGATTCTGCCTGCTGGATGTGGGTCTGAGAAGGTGGGAGGAGATACTGATAGGTTGGCATGATTCCACTGTGGATGTTAACAGAGTTCATTGTAATCACAAAGTCCTGAAACTCTAGCATGGGTAGAAAGGAACCATCTCAGAAGCAGGACAGGGATCTCACTACCATCAAAGAAGTCGAGTCAGGCGTGGAGCTTGTTCTTTGGACCCCAAGATCTCTGCACATTGAACCTCCTCGACCCAGAGACAGAAAGCTGAGACAACTGGAGGAGTGGGTAGCAGAGGAGCAAGAGCAGATCAAAGAACCAGAGAACGAGGCAGAACAGTGGACTTCCCAGACTGTGAGTGACTGTGGGCAGGAGGCTTGCTTGTAGAATGAGGAGCCTTCAGGCACTTACTTAAGTGGGAGAGCTAGAGCCGATTACCTTCAGGGTAAGGCTTATGGTGGAGTGGTGTGTTCTATGGGCTTTTATCAGCAGTTGACTGGAACAACTGTGCCCTGAGTATTTCTGACCCCAAATTGTAACCTGTTAACTTCTACAATAAACCGCATAACTGTGACTATGGTGTCTGGGTTCTGTATGGTCACTTCAATGGATAATCGAACCCAGCTGAATAGTGCAGGCTATGGGAGGAATGGTTGGTGCCATAGTTTTGCAATGACTTTCAGTGACACTACCCTTGTAAATTTGAATAAATATGGATGCAAGCAAAAGGGACTCTCTGCAGGATATCATAAAGGATGGGGAAAAGAGGGTTCTATCCGTTTCTCCAGTTACTCTCCTATCTTAAAGTCCCACATTCATACCTATAATCAGAAATTTGTACAGCCATCCTCCCCAAAGTACAAGGCCTTTTCCATAATTCCATCATGAATGCTCATAGGACCTGCCACTGCACCCAAACAGACATCAGGTTTCCATCACCTCTTCAGACTGGGAGCCCCGTAGAAATATCTCATTCTCAATATCCTGTCACGTGACAATAATTGTCACCAGAATTCCTTATGGTGTCACTGGAGGGAGGGCAGGTTATAGAACAGAACTAGGGAAAGCTGTCACACTGGGGACACTGGAGTTCATACCATGAACTTAATTTTCTTCCACTGAAGCTCAACACATTTTCTTTCAGAATTTGAGTTACAAATGACAGTGACTGTGTATGCTACTCTAAAGGGTTTGTTTAGGGGTTTTTGTAGCTATTTTGAGATTAAATGAGCTCTTGTGCTCTGGGTGACACAACATTTCAGGTTATAAACCTAATCTTAGCAAAACTAAGTAGTCATACAACCCATCTGCAAGTTGCGAACTGCTGCTATGCATATGTATACAAGTGTATTTGTATAGAAGCAGCCCTGGAAGCATAGTGGATTACAAGCTGGGCTGTTAATTTCAAGGTCAGCAGTTTGAATCTACTAGTTGCTCCATAAGAGAAAGACAAAGCTTTCTGTTTCCGTAAAGATTTACAGCCTAAGAAACCCTATACAGGGTCGCTACAAGTTAGAAGCAACTCGACAATGCACAACCACCACAACGTTTGTATACTTATCTAGCTAACTTAGAGGAAGGAAAATGGTATCTGTTTTATTTGTCTGTCCATAATTTCATGGAGTCCTAGTGGGGCACTATGGGTTAATGCGCAGCACTGCAAAGTCGGTTTGATCCACAAGGCAGCAGTTCAAGCTCACCAGTTGCTCCTTGGAAACCCTATACAGGGTCGTTATAGATCAGAACTGACTTGATGGCACTTAACAACAACAACATATATAATTTCAGCCCACAAAAGATTTGAGGCATCTTATCGAGATGGATTGGCAAACTGGCAGCATCAATGGGCTCAAGTGTGGCAACAATTGGGAGGTTTTGTTCTGTTGTGCATAGGGTTGCTATGAGTTGGTACCGAATGGCTATGTGCTATGAATGGCACCTAACAACAACAACAATAATGAAAATACATAAATAGAAAAATTCCATAAGGGAAAACAGATTAGAAACTAAAAAGGGGCTAAACGAATGGAGATTACAATATAATTATGTAAGCCAGAAAGGCCTAAACAGATTTCTGTGGCCTATGAATTTGTCTCTGAGCTTCTTGGTAGTAAAAAGGGATATATGGGGTATTACACAGACCTAGCTATGAAAGAAAAGAAAAAGCTGAGTCCTACTGCTCCAGAGTTCCCCATCACTGGACATATTCATGAGGATTTTAGTGTATAACAGCAATAAAGTAATATTTATTTCAAAATTAAGAATTTTTTCAATTTAAATAAAAATAGATCATCATACTGGCCTGGCCTTCCCACAAGCAGTCTAAATCGGTGAGTTCAAACTAAAAAGAAACATCCTACCTGATGTATATTTGCTGATAAATATTGGTATGGCTGTATTAGTCCCATGCCAATTCAGTTAAACTCTACTTAAATGTGGGCTTTTGCGAATTACTTAACAAGTGAAATATACTAAAAAAGGTAGAAAAAATGATACTCATGTAATTTTTTTTAACCTGAAAGGTGAATATTAATTTTGTACGTTCAGGAAAGCCTAAATCTATATTCTGCTCACAAAAAGCTAGCAGTACTTTGACCTAATCACAAGTTTCCATGCAAAGACGGTCAAGTTCTTGTTTTATCCCCTACTAAAAGTCACAATGTTGTTGGCAGTTGTTATTATAATCTACAAAATATTCATATGCCCTGAAGGAAATAAAATAAACAAGAGGTCATCAAACACATAAGTAAAAAGTGAGATATAATCCAAATTCACCAAACATATTTGAAAAAGAACCAAATAGAACTGCTAGAAATGAAATTTTTCATTCCATTTTAACAACAGTGTGGTGGTTCTGTAGGATAATACTGGACTACAAACCACAAAGTCAGAAGCTTGAGCCCATCAGGCACTCCAAGGGAGAAAGATGAGGTTTTCTGCTTCCGTAACCTTAGAAACTGTAACAGGATCACTATGAGAGAGAATCAACTGTACGACACTTAACAGTAACAATCTGACAATCAAGATCAGCGATTTGAACCTACAAGCTACTATGTGGGGAAAGATGAAACTTTCTGCTCCTGCCTCAGAAACCCTATACAGGGTTATTATGAGTCGAAATTCACTGGACAGCATTTAATAACAAAAATAATCTGACTATTGTAATTCATTAAGTATCAGAGATAATAACAATGCCATCAAGAGCTACGAAAATTAGAGAAGCCTTTTTAAAAAAACATTATCTTCTCAGTTTATTTCCCTCCAACCATCTTAGCCAAGACTGCATTCTGCCAATCACGCACACTCAGCAAGAGAACTGGCATGCTATCTTCCCTCTGAGCTAATGGCATAATTTGGCAACAAAATCCAAATTACTCAGTGGGAGCATCTGGCACATTCAGAGAAAATATCAAAAGGAAAACTACAGATCCCTATGCTGAGTTAGGCCAACCAGAGACAGCAAAATACCAATGTGTTTAAATTAGGGTGTGGTTGTTCTTGTCAAGTGCTGTGGAGTTGGTTCTGACTCATAGCAACCCTATATAAGAGTTTCTGAGGGGCATATGGTGTATTTGAACCAACAACTTTGTGGTTCAAACTGATCTTGTAGTCCAACGCACTGGGGGCAGTCAATTGTGATAGGTACTTGACGAAGTGAACTATAGAAGGGTTAGGAGTCCTGGTGTGGCGCTGCAGGATAATGCACTGGAATGCAAGGTCAGTTTGAACCACAGGTCAGCAGTTCAAGCCCACTGGCCGCTCCTCGGAAAGCCTACACAGGGACTATGGGTTGGAACCAACTCAACAGCACTTAACAACAACAACAAGGGTCCAAATAGTCACTACTTTGCTGGCTAAGGAAATTACCCAAGGACTAAGGATATCCATGGGAATGACAGAAGAAACATGAAACCACCTCACACGGACACTTTCACAACCCAGGGCACATGAAACATCCAAGGAATAACTTCTGCTGCAGAGAAGGTGAGCTCATATTTAAAATTTACTCTGCACAAAAATAAAAATCACCATGACAACAGAAACAAACAGAATTCACATCCTACATCTAAAAGAGTTTAAAATAAGTATCTTTAAATGCTCACGGAGATAAGGAAAATTTCTACAATATAATAGGCTAGATTAAGACCTCAATTGGTGTGATTTTGTCCCTCAGGGGGCATTTGGCAATGTCTGGAGTTACTTTTGGTTGTCATAACTGAGAGGCATTACTATTATCTAATTGGTAGAGGTCAGAGTTGCTGCTAAGCATCTTACAATGCATAGCCTCCCACAACAAAGAATTATTCAGT